GACCTGAGCCAAAGTTGGACACTTAACCAATTGAACCACCCAGGCACCCCCCTCGCTGTCTTTATATTGTTTGAGCTTGAAAAATCCCTGCAGACAACCTCTCTTAAGGAGACTACTCAGTGTAATGACACAAACAGGTTTACAAATAGACAACATGACCCAGTTTAACCTGGACATTTTATTTCTGTGACCCTTTGCAAATTGGTTGTTTTCTGTTAATAGGCCACAACCTGTAGAAATATTATATTGTGTATGGTACGGTCTCTGGTAACCTTTCTCAGCCATCCCTTGCTAAATAACCAGAGTGGTGAAACCATTTCATGGTGGCAACTGTGACTTTGTGCCTTAGAGTATTGCTTACAAAGCAAGTAGTAACCTCTTTACCAACCCAGATCATGCACAGTTTAAATCTGATGTAGACAAAGTGTGAAGGATCCACAAAGCCCTTCATTTTCATACAGTACTCACTTTGGGTTTAAATAAGTTTCATTTTGCAAAGAACTAGCGGAAATCTCAGGGACTGATGGTGGTGATGCCAGTCCAACAAGGGAAAGGCCCAGGAAGTGATCAGGCCTCTTTGACAAGGATTTCAGTTAGGAGAGGAAGGAAGCAACTGGAAAATTATCTTTCAAAGTTTTCTTTTAATTGATCGAGATGGAAAATGGAATCAAACTGCTATTTCCCAAAGTGACTTTAATGCATGCTTATTAAGCTTATACTGTATCTTTTAATATTATCCTAGTATAAAAGAAAGTAGTCTGTATTTTCAACATCATCCTAGTATAAAAGAAAGCTAAAGCAAAGGAAAATTATAGCAAAGCACAGAGGATTTTCTGAAGTGAAAAACTCAGGTTTAAGAAGTCCACCTCTCTAGGCAAACCAAGAAACAGACCCTTAACTCTAGAGGACAAACTGAGAGTTGCTGGAGGGGAGGTGGGTGGGGGATGGGTTAAATGGGTGATGGGCATTAAGGAAGGCACTTGTAACGAGCACTGGGTGTTGTATGTAAGTGATGAATCACTAAATTCTACACCAGAAACCAATATTACATTGCAAAGTAACTGGAACTTAAATGAAAATTTGGAGAAAAAAATGTCAAGAAAGAAGACAAACAAGACTTTCTATTTTAGATGCTGTATTCTATATTAAAAGAATAATAAGCTATTAAACTTCTTCACCAATATATACTTATGTTGCGAAGTTGGAGGAAGATGAGGAATAAAAAACTCTTTAATTAAAAAAAAAAGTGTACTTCTCTAAAACCAGAACTTAAGATACTGACAGATAAAATCCCTTAAACTGTCATTTTGTATATAGTCTATCTTCATTTTTCCCTTGCTGTTGTCTTTCCCTTACCATATAAATAAAAAATATGTGTCTATTTATATTTGTATTCATTAGGCTCTGGAAGAAATAGTCATCGTGAAGATTTTATGTTAAAACATTCCCAAACTGACTAAAAGAAAGTATTCTCCAAATTGTTCCACACTTGCCCTAATATTAAGCTATAAGCCCCAGCCCCACGTACTTTTTGGATGTTTAGCCCAATCTAGAATGTAATCTTCTTGTAACAGTGTCTGTTTTGCATCCTATTTAGAATAATATCTGGCACATACTGGGAGCTCTATAAATATTTGCTGAATTTTGCACGTACCTTCCTCCTTTGGTGGCAATAAACTGACAATTTAAGAAAGGCTGAACTGAAACCTGTATTATAGATGCTGCCTAATTAGGGTTTTATACAGCATCACTTTTTCATATGAATTTCATCCTTCAGTTGATTCATCCCAGAATCCCATTTGCATTTTTAAACTATAATCACACTGTGGCTGATGATGACAAGATTCTTAATGCCAACTAGCTCAAGTGGAAGCTACTTCCTGGCAAGGGCTCTTCTTTGGGAATTACAAATCTGCGTGAGCAAATGATGACGGAAAAAATATTTTGGTGAGTGAACATCTGTCTTAGAGCTTTCACACGCTTTCGTTTAAGAGAAAACAGAAAGGAGCTTACTAATAACAGTCTATAATTAATCACCTATGAAACAACAGGTGGTGACAGTGGTGGGTTTCTCTTTGGATTCATGATTATGGGGAATTTATGTGAGAGGAAACTAGGGTTCTGAACAGAGGTTGCTGATGGCCTCTACTACTTACCTTCTCCAAGCTTAAGCCAGTGGTTTATGCTTTTCATCATTTCCCCAGAATAAAAACAGTCAACTTTCGGAAACTTTGACCAACATTAACTAGCCACGCCTATGTTTCTATCTTTTAGCACAGCAAATTGGAAAATAACTACCTCAGATCTGTTTGGAGACACTTCAGAACAAAAAAGCCCCATAGTCACTACCCCCAAACACCAGGCTTCTGTGATAAGTGGCTTCCATTTGATTCTGGGGCAATACAGTATCGTGGAAGAGAAGCTCCAGAATTCAACAGGTCTGTCAATTACCTTCCCACTTGAGTTGCCTCCTATTCTCTTGAAATTTAAAAGGAACCATAGGGGCGCCTGGGTGGCGCAGTCGGTTAAGCGTCCGACTTCAGCCAGGTCACGATCTCGCGGTCCGGGAGTTCGAGCCCCGCGTCGGGCTCTGGGCTGATGGCTCAGAGCCTGGAGCCTGTTTCCGATTCTGTGTCTCCCTCTCTCTCTGCCCCTCCCCCGTTCATGCTCTGTCTCTCTCTGTCCCAAAAATAAATAAACGTTGAAAAAAAAAAATTAAAAAAAAAAAAAAAGAAATTTAAAAGGAACCATCAGCAAACAAAGTGATCAATACAATTTCTGGGCCTGTTCCCACATGTCTTGTCATAGGCATCTCATTAATACTTGCCTACTTTTATGGGCCCAGCACACTTCCGCTGCGCCACTCTGCTATTGTTATACTTGCCTACCTTTAGATCTGTTTTAATGTCTGTGTAGAAATCCATTCATCTACCCATTCATTTGTTCCTTCAACAAACATATTTGTTGGGAGACTCCTAGGAACCAGGCACTAGGCTACACTCATGAAACTGTGAGCAAAGGTATATATCGTTTCTCTTCTCATTGAGCTTGCAGTCTACTAACAGAGCAGACAAATAATCACACAAATGAATGTTAAATTTTTCCCATTTTAAATAATACATGGGAACAGTACAAGTTGCTATATGAGCCAGTAATTCAGGGGAAATGACCAGGTGAAGGGGGGTTAGCAAAGTTTTAGGCATAGGAAACAGCATTTTCAAAGGTCCTGTAATTGGAGAGAATTTGATGTGATCGAGGAAACAAAAGTCAGTGCATAGAGACAAGGGCACGTGTGTTAAGCTGACTGGAAAAGGAGATGCAGTACATACAGCTAGACCTTGTGGTCCATGTTGAGGACTCCAGTTGTTTTGTTTTATACTGTTTGTCTTTTATTATGTTTTTTTTTAAGTTTATTTTTTTAGTAATCTCTACACCCAATGTGAGGCTCAAACTCACAACCTCAAGATCAAGAGTCGCATGTTTTTGCGACTGAGCCAGCCAGGTATCCCCGTTTTGTTTTTCTTGAGAGCAACAGAAAGCCAATGAAACTTTTTGTAGGAAAGTGACATGGAAGCTAGAATTGATTAGATGAGTTAAGTAAAAAGGCCACATAGTTATTCAGAAAAAAAAGATGATATTAGCTTGAAACTGGGTGTTTGCACTAAAGAAGGAGAAAAGAGAACAGATTTTAGAGACATTTAAATGGTAAAACAGACATGACTTAGGAGTGGATTTGAATGGAAGGGAAGGAGGCATTATTATCAAGGAAAGTGTTTATCAGAAACAGCCCTTTTCTCCTATAATGGATTGAGCATACACTCACCAGGACATATCACAAAGACCGTACTAAATCAAATAAATACCATCTCAGTCATATGTAAAACGCCTAAGAAAATGTTTGTGATCACTAAGAGTACATTTTGTTGCAAATTGCAGAAGAACTCAAAATGGCTTAAACAGAGATGCCGTCTCTCACATAATGTGTGTGTGTGAATTCCAGAAATAAGACAGGGGCAGGAATGGTTATTTCATCCAGCAACTCAACAATGTCATCAAAGACCTAGGTTCTTCCATCTATCAACTTTATCATATTCAGTATATCGCCTTTCATCTGTAGGATTCTTTCTTCGTGATTACGAGACAGTTGCAGCAGCTTTCAATGTCATATTCTCAGGTTAGTTCCCAAAGGCCAACAGAGGGAAAGTCCTTCCTTCAGTTCCCGTTCAAGAGTGAAGCTTTCCCAGAAGCATTTGCTTCCAGCAGAATTCCCTTTACATCTAAATGGCCAGAACTGTATCACACGCCATTTTCTAAACTAATCATTACAAGGTAAAACAATTACTATGATTGGCTTAGTCTAATCAAGATTCACTTTCTGGGCTAGGGAAGGTCAAAGAAAGAAAGGGAGAAAAAAAAGTGCTGGTAGAGTAGGAACCAAAATGTCCTGACAGAATATTACTGAGAACAAAAACAAAAATCCTCAAAATTCTGAATTTAACCAGTGGTAGATAATCTTTGGGTAGCTGGGTCCATTTCAGTGTATTGATCTGCAATATTCAGAATTTTTGAAATCTTTTCTTCTTGCCTAGTAAAATAATTATGTCAACTAAACATATACTACATTAGACATTTTCTGTTGCATCTCTTGGGTAGGTGCCAAAATACACTAAGATTTAGAGGCCAGGAGCGGATAAAATGCCAAATTCCCAGTTTGGCAAACCTGATGATCTTGAGGGAAATAAGAGATGGAAAACCAGTTTAACCGTAAGTGAAAAAAAGACAATTGTACCTTCTGAAAAATGTTTTTTTCTTCCAAACAAGAGGTACCACAGGCATGATATGCTTACACTTCTGTCTCTCTGAACCTCCCTCACAGTGATTTTGCAAACTGTTCATTTTCCTTAGGTTTCCAACTCATAAAGAAAACATTACTACAGATTTCATCCTTTGCCTCGAATTTCTAAGAGGAACTATAAAATCAAATATAAAAATATTCTTTGGAATGCTCTTTGCTTTTCCTTCGCACATCATAAACATCTCTGTTTCAACATCAGGCAGGTTAGAACAAAGCTCCTTGTTTGCTAGTGTGTCCCCTTGTTATTACATTGTGTTTTAAAGGCTGAAGCCTTGATTTATTCTTGTTTGTATTGCCAAAGACCACTTGGCATAAGAATTGGGTATGTAGTGAATGTTGGTTGAATTTGTTTGTTGAATTTTTTTTAAACTGCATGACTAGTAACATTTCACAAAGGGCCTATTCCTACAAAAATAGCTCCAGAGCAGTGAGTCATTTTTTCCTTTAAGGATTTTATTTATGCTTTAAAAAAAAAGACTATCGAAATAAATTTATCCCACTGCAACTTTCCAACTTCCATTGAAAGACAAATTAATAATTCAAGAAAATGAATGACTCTACAAAGGTTGTCTTCTCTTTGTATCTCAACTCCCAGGGGTGGAAACGTGTCATATAGTTAATGGAGTTATTATTACAATGAACCAAAGAGCTTAGAAACTGAAAATGTCCATTTCCCAGATATGTTTTTACTTGTCATCAGTTAATTTTACATTATAAACATAAATACTGCACTTTAGTATTAGTGTCCTTTGTTAAACCAGCTTGGGAAATCCCTGACACTAAAAGAAAAAGTAGATTCAACATTTTAAAATCAGCTTCATTTCCTGAAGTTTTCATAGACTTATACATACACAGCATAATAAGAACAATAAACTAAACAATCAGTAGCCCTTAGTAGGTGCTATAAGAAAATATGACCTTTTATATCCAACAGTTACAAGATATAAACTATGTAAACATAATAAACTGAATTTAAGAGTGATCAAATGGTTTTTGTAATTATTATTGTCTAAGTATAATTAACATACAATATATTAGTTTCAAGCGTACAACACATTGGTTCAACAATTCTATGAATTACTCCGTGCTCACCACTTTAAGTATAGTCACCATCTGTCACCATAGAATATTATCACAGTATTATTTTTTTAATGTGTATTTATTTGAGAGAGAGAGAGTGAAAGAGAGAGACTGAGCAGGGGAGGGGCAGAGAGGGAGAGAGAGAATACCAAGTAGATTTTGTGCTATCGGTACAGAGCCCAATGTGGGGCTCCATCTCACAAACCCTGAGATCACGACCTGAGCTGAAATCAAAAGTTGGACGCTTAACTGACTAAGCCACCCAGGCACCCTATCATAATATTATTGACTTTATTCTCCATGCTGTACTTTTCACATCCATGACTTATTTATTTTAAACTAGAAGTTTGTACCTTTCAGTTTCCTTTATCTATTTCATCCTCCTCACCAACCTCCCCTCTGACAACCACCAGTTTGTTTTCTATATTTAAGAGTCTGTTTGCTTTGTATTTTAGATTACACATATAAGGCAAATAATATGGTATTCATCTCTATCTGTCTGACTTATTTCAATTAGCATAATTCCTCCAGGTCCATCTATCAAGCTCTCATTGTTTTTTATGGCTGAGTAATATTCCACTGTGTGTGTGTGTGTGTGTGTGTGTGTGTGTGTGTGTGCAAATATATATAATCCATTTATCTATCAATCAACACTTGGGTTGTTTGCATAATGTAGCTATTGTAAAATAATGTTACAATAAACTTATGGGTGCATGTATCTTTTCAAATTAGTGGTTGCATTTTCTTTGGGTAAATACCCAGTAGTGGAATTACTGAATCCTACAGTATTTCTATTTTTAAATTTCGAGGAATCTCCATACTGTTTTTCACAGTAGTTATATCAATTTATATTTCCACCAACAATGCACAAGAGTTCCCCTGGAGGAAAGTTTCTTTTTATAAAAGTATTTTCATTGACAAATCTGGGAGAAATGACATAATTAGAATACTCATCATATGCAACTTCTAACAAATCGAGGCAATGATAAATATTCATGGCTGCTAAAACCAATAGGTGAAAAACTTATAGGAAACTTTATAATGGGTCAATCAATTTCACAATTCCCAATTTGTTTATTAGGATTTACATTATAAGAAGAGAGACAACCAGACGTTATATGCTTCCTATTGGTTTAATATAACATCACCTATGAAAAATTCTTGCTAAAAACTCTAAATTTGATCAAGCCTTTAGATGTAGCAGTAGAGGAAATACAAAGGACAGAGATACATGTTAAACGATACTCTAGTGATGCAATCAGCAAAACCTAGAACACAGAAAACTTTTTAGGACAAATACCATTTTCTTCACAAATAAATTACAGGAGAAAAAAGAGACAAAAGGAATTTCAAGAATCCCTATA